AATTTCAAATATGGATATATAATACACAATGCATGTATTTTATTACAAAGTCGGATCACTATAATGATCGAGCAATTCCCGTGCAAGTTTCTTTGAGTCTTTCAGTAATTATAAATTATTACTACATTTTATTTTTTTCCAAAATGAAGTTTTAATATTTATTTTAAAAAAGTTGAAAGTATGTTGATAAATTTTTAGAAAATTTTTTAATCATTCTGAAGATGAAAAGAATAGATTTTAGTGACTCATATTTGGACGGATAAGGCACCAAATTGTATCTTGTATTCTAAGGATTAAATAATGTTTGATATAATAAAAACTCTTTATATCAATACAAAAAATATATTACAAAAACTACTGGTACTATGTTCATTAATTCGACTTCTAACTTATCAAATACAATATGTATCAAAATTATAATAATCTAAAAACGATGTAAAAAGTTATTTCAAGCTATTTCACAAAGAAGCACTATTCTGACGATACTTATCACGATAGAAAGCAGAAGTGGTTGTTGCCAGAAAATAATAATGCATGATCGATAATGTATGTAGGTACGCGATATGCATAAATCTCTTTTCAAGATCCCTGCCAGTAAAAATAAAGATGTGAACAGACAATGTCTGCGATAAAGTGAATAATGAAATATTTCATCGTTTAGTATGAGATAACATCCGTGACGATGCGAGATAGTAGTACAAAGTAGATATCACATAAACATCAATATCCTTAATTTCTCATTTTTGTGATCGCGGTCGAAAAATAGAATTTTTGTGATAAAATATCATCAGTTATAACTGCGGTAGAATCTACAAAATTTAATAGATTTTTCCAGATTTCCAACAAAAATTTTGTATATAATAAGAAAGCATCTCGTATTAGATATAACGTAAAAAGAATTAAAGAAAGAATGATGTGAAATAAAAAAATAATAAAACGAATAATGTGTATGTGTGTATGTGTGTGTGTGTGTGTGTGTGTGTGTGTGTGTGTGTATGTGTGCGCGTGCGTGTGTGAAAGATTTTTGTTCCGTAATAACAATAAAGCGAAATTGAAGAACAAAAAATAAACACAGAACATATGAATCGTGAACGTAATATAAATTGCTGATTAAATAAACCTGTTTGAAATCTGTACAATTTAAAACTAAGTTGATAACGTAAAGTTACGGATAAATTGCTTCGTATTCAGCTACGGGATAAAATTACAACACATCATTATAACAACAGCAACCCTATACCATCGCTGTCTACATAATTCAATAATGAAATACGCGATAATGAACGAAAGCATAGAATCTTGTCGCGTATCGGCGTGATCATATCTTCAGCGACATATGTTTCAAAACATCACTGTCATTGTCAGCTTTGAAAATCTATAAAGAATAACAAATTCAGTGCATTCGCGATTTTATAAAACGCAATGGAGCATTTATGAAAATAAAAGGAGCAATAGAATTGTCCCGCTTTAACGTATAATAGAAAATAGGTCGATGAGTATAACCGCCTTTTCCGAAAGATATTAATAACAGTATCGACTTGGGACTATACGTCTACAGAGAAAATCTGCAAGATACGCAATTTGTTCATTTTTAATCTAAAAAATAAATTTCTAGATGTAACTAAAGTAAAAAACGAACGCAAACGCAAATGGATGCATTATTACATACGTTTACTTTAGTAATTTTGAACTTGATTTTGAATAAACAAAATAATTTTATATAAATAAATTATTACCTCAGCCAAATAATATCTGTAAAACGAATCGATTGAATGATAATAAGGTATATGATAAAACGAAATTTCCTGTCAATGTTATCGATTGTAATCAATGACATACAAACGTAAAAAGCATACACGCGTGCGATTTTGATATACATTACAGCGTTCCTGTAATTCCGTATTTCTGAACACAGATGCTTGTACGTTCGATGAGGTCTCATGTCATTTTGTTTGCCGATGATACTATCACGTGATAGTATCTATTCAAAGGACATCCAACCTAACGTTGGTTATAATACATGCTCGACAGTACTTGATAACAGCGTCGAGTGAATTTATTATACGCGGAAATTTATGCTCTCTTCATACACTTGTGTGTAATTTAAATTTATATAATTGAAATTAAAGCCAAAGTTTAAGGGGCCAAAATTATAAGCTTGATGTGATACATCATTAAAACTACTGACTATTGTCATTATGGTGTTGCTATTCGCAATAATTATAAATGTTATAATTAAATTAATTCCATTATTTTCATAAATAATATATATGTTATATTTAAAAATAATATAAAGAGAAAAAGATTTGAAAAAAAAAAAATAAACGTTATTACGATGTACAATCCTATCTTTAAATTTTGTACTTTTAAAAAGTCTGTTTCATTTTACATGAATTGTTGCAACTTATATTAACGATGCATCGACAAACATCAAACTAATCAAACGACATTAGGTATCCCTGGTGTACAAATCATAATCGAAAACCATCGCGGGACAAGTGGATGCTGCGTACGCATGGTGCACCGCGATCTCTTGAGAAATTACACGTCACGTGCATGTGAGTACCAGAGAACGTGCAAGTGGTTGCAACAATGGTAAATCACTGCCGTTAGAAAATGTACCCGGTACAGGAAGCCGAGAAAACTGCGACTCTGTTCGATAGTTCTTCGTTCCTTTTATTGTCATATTATTTATTAAAACTGTTTATTTATCAAATGCATAAATATAAAAAAAACATTAACTTGGCCAACGAAGGCCACTAAGGAGTGGAATATATATATTTTTCTGAAGATTAATGGAAGTTGAAAATTCGCAATTACGGAAATGTCAAATTCGCAATAAATTTCGAAATAAACAATCGAAGTGGACCAATGATATCGTATAGAGTTATTCATAATTGTATCTGTACTACATACCAATCTATCATTTTTAATAACTTTCAGCTCAAATATATTGGCTTTTACATCTGAACTACAAACAAAAAATAATAAAAAGATAAAAAATAAATTTTAGTAAACTATGTAATACTAATCAATCCTCTTTAATCGTATATATAAATTATTGCGATTATTTTCATCATAAAAAGTTTTGATCTCATTAATTTCTAAAATATAGGTACTGTTAAGGTAAATACAATAATTAACAGATTCCCTTATATATCGAAATTATACAAATTATTATTATTTTATAATCAATTACTCAATTAATTTGTAATTATTAATTCAGTTATTCTCTCTGTATAGAAGTCATTATAAATGTCAGATGTGAATCTATTATAAAGAGAAATCATTTAACGAATCCATGATTGATTTTTTCGAAGCAATGTACACCGTGATAGATAAATCCATTGTGTGAAAATCGCAGTGTGAATAGCGGTGTGCTTTAAAGACCTATATTTCGCACGCCGTTTTAGGCTATCCCGAACTTGTATCGTCCAATAGTCGAAAAAAAATACAAGAGACGAATGAGCAAAAAACCTCCAATAGCCATTCGCAATAACCAGAGAGTATAAACGCAAAAGTGGTTTCTTCGGCTGGATGCATCGTGGGTTCATGTTAGCGGGTCTGCACAATTTCGAAAAAGAACGGACGCGGAATAAATTTCGCCCATTCGTGAATTTTTAATTTATCGTACATGAGAGTTCGTCAAAATCAACATTTCTTGTTTGGCAAATATGTACAAAATGTATGCACAAATACAACGACAGCAGGCTTTCTGATCGATACGAATTTCCACGGTCGGCGACAGCCGTTTAAGTATAGATGACATAAGAACTTGACATGTTGATTTTTAAAGCGATTACAGAAGTAGCGATGTATTCATTAGGTATTGCATGCATTGTTTTCTCTCTAGAGTCAATTCTATGAGAATTTTATTCTAAGAATTATTATTCCAAGATGTCAACTTGAACTTTATTGAATTTATCGTATATATACTTGGGTCAATAAGTAACCATGATGTCTTGATTTCGAAGGGCAAAATTAAAGTTACTTATTGATTTACCTATATACTGAGCATTAAATTTCCGATATTGCAAGTTTAAATTCATGATAAGACAAGTCAGTTGTTTGTAAGAACTTGGGAAAGTTGCTTTAATTTCCGAAATATAAATGCGATTATACAACATGTATGCGGAATAACTGCTGTCATTTATGTATTTACTGAATTCTCATAGGTCATTGTATTTACGGATTGAATACATACCCATGTATCAGTCCGTACCATTATGAAAAAATAAATCCTACGAGCCGATATCGACAACGACAAGCGCAATGCCAATAAAAGAAGAAAAAAAAAACTGTTCACGAATTTCCGAAGAGTAGAAAAGCAAAAAGAAAATATTTGCGTAAATACGTTTTTTTTTTACATCCACGGGAAAACATTCGCAAAATAAGTTTGCTTTTCTATCTAGTATTCTTTGTTATACTTCAAATTTATCCATACTCACGTAGGATGGTGGCACGAGCGGCAAATGCACAATGTAAAAAATTTCACATGCTTTGATGCACGAAAACATCGAATAATACGCGGCAAGAATATTAAAACTGTTATCAATTTGCTTGTGCACGTAACAGTACGAAACGAGCGCGCATAAATAACTCTACAGTATAGTATTATAGTAAAAAAGAAGTAGTTCGAAGTAAAAACTACAGCAAAACACTTATCGATCAATTCCTAGAAGTATATGACTAACACATTAATTTACAATCGTTACAAATGAATGTTTAATATAAATGAAGGTTTAATATAAATAGGTTAATAATAATAGACCAGTTGTTGCATCTACGTTATATTATCTTTGAATAAAATTTATAGTAAATTATTCGTAATTAATGTATCACTATTAAAAGTGATTGATACTAAATTGTATCTCGAATAAATCTCAAGGATATCTCATTACCTGATTAAAATCGCGATAACGATAATGGTAACAAGAGTCATTAAAGTCAAATCGATCGGTGCGTTTACAGGATTATAGTGACAATGGAAAAAAACTCACATTCTCTTCGACGGTCTTCTTGATTTTCACGCTGGCCTCCACTACGGTCTTTCCGGCCTTGTTCACAGCGCTGTATAAGAATCCACCGAGGCTCTTCGCACCAGCCAGTGCCTTCGTAGAAACTAGTGGCAGAACAGGAAAAGTAAAATGAGAATAAATGAGACATTCGTGAGAGAGAGAGAGAGAGAGAGAGAGAGAGAGAGAGAGTGTGTGTGTGCCTTCGCAGTCTCAACTCAACATGAAAAAAAACCATAAAGTAGGTCGTAACTATTACATAAAAATAAACCGGTGTTCTATAACTATTTTTCTTTCAAATAAGAAAGATGCTATTATCATCTTTTAAAAAATTAATTAAATAAAAACTTCAAGCTATTTAACTTAATTTTGTTAAGCTACTTGTTAGGAAATGCGAAAAAATCAGAGATTGCTCGATTTGAACTATTAAAGATGCTATTTAATTTAAAAAAGTTTTAAGAAACGACGTGAATATGAATATATATTGTATGCCATTTAAGAATTAATACCAAGTGTTAGAAGTTAGTGAAAAATATTACACATACATATATATAAACTAAAAAAAAAAAATCTTAGTTACGCTATTACGTTAAACAAACAGCCAAAGAATCACGTGATATCGAATCAACGTGCAAGTAGTTGGTTGTTCTAACTTGAATACGTCAGGTGGATTTCTCATGACTCTCCTTTGCAGAGAATGATTCTGATTTAGCCATTTATCACGATCTGATGAGAAAAGGAAATTGGCGTATGACGGTAGTGATAGGAGCGACCGATGCAAATCGCTTTTCCGAAGCAAAATATTACGAGATATCTGATGTTAAATATTATATTATATTATCACCGTATGTAACTTTGGCTTTGTTCCATCTTTAGTATTCCCGATGTTCGATGTAAAACTGTTACAATGCACTATAGAGAAGCGAGAGAAATCTGGTTTGTAAAACCATGTATTTATCTTTAATCGTGTTATTCAATATTCTAAATCGTATTTAATATCGCCTTTAAAAAATAAATGACACGATTAAGATACAATGTATAATTTCTGCCTAAAAGTGACTTGAATTTATTTAACAATTATACAATTTTATAGTTTGAACGAAAATTTTCTCATTTTGTCGTAATTATTTTTTAAAATCATGTCTACTTCTTACAGAAATAATTTTTGATCCGAGTTTTAAATCGCGTCGTAAAACTTTTTGTATTTTTAAATACAATACGTTTGTACTTTTAAATACAATATAGAAAAATTTGTAATTTTTTCCCTAAGTTTTTCATATTGTTAACAAAATACTTGTAATACATCCCTAAATCTAAGTCGCAACAATGTATATATGTGTATGTATATTTTTCACGTACGTTTTAACTAAATAACGCAGTAACAGTTTTTTTTTCTTTTAAACCCATAGTTTGGAATTAAAATCACATAGTGTATATCAAGTTTAAAAAAAAGTGGATGCCCCTTTTCTTGCATTTTATGTCCTACCATGCGGCTAACGAATATTAACTAACAAACGATATTTTATCTCATCATTTATGAGATAAAAAATAAAATAATGTTCGCGAGAAAAGCGGACACTACATTATATACGACATATTGAAGAAATGCGCGACGCAATATACTTTGTCGTTTAAATCGCGCCTCGTAAATAGATTGCCGTTTGATCGCCTAATGCGTCGACAGCAAGTTACAGTGACATTTACACTTTCAATAAAATAGAAAACGATTCACCTTTTCTTATAGCTCAACTCGTGCAAAAGGTCGGCTGGTCTTGGTCGCAAGCATTTCAAACTGTAATGTCATAGCGTACTTCACCATACATACTAACATATTAACGTGATTTCGTCGTAATCTAAAATATTTTTGAGATAGTTTTATAGAAAATTGTAATGACGTTTCTCCGCTAATTTAATTCGCAGAGATTTTATTCGAGACGGCCATTACATTATTCAATCTCGAATTTTAATTTTTATACATTCATATAAATCGTTTAAAAATTTCTGATGGAATATACTTATGTAATATGTTCTTAATCAAAAGTAATAAATGTATAATCCAAAAAGTATAATCCATTTAGATATAATTCTACAAAGACACGAGCTAATTTTTTTAGATATCGAAAACGTGATATTTTTCTGAAATTTACGGGAAAGGAATAACGAGTAATAAAGATTTAAAGTTTTTGACGAAGAAAACTCTCAAAAGGAATCATGAACGAATGCAGTGGGCTGCTTTATATGAGCTATAGAAACGTAAGAAGTCGCGTAGCTATAAAATGGGACACACATTTTTTTTATGTTTTGTACTCCGCAACAACTGTAACGCTGTGATAAAACGACGTCACGTCTTTTGAAGTATATTTGAACATTCGCACGTAGCTGCTCGAGAAAATTTAGGAAGGCCCGTTTTTAGCATAGAGGCCAGGATATGTAGAAATTGCCTCTGTATAACTCGGTTGCCTTCGCAAACCAAAGGCGATTTAATCAAACGGATTGAAGCACTTCAATTCGTGCAGCTTCATGCCTGCCTATCTCCATCCGATCCGCTGCGAGCAGGAGGCCATTAAAGGGAACGAATCAGCGTAAAATACACGTGGCTTAGTACAACAGTGCACTATACAACAGCTTAATAACAGCTTCCAGCTTCGCAAGATACAGGTACATCGGATAATTGGTAGGAGTCTAGGAGTCTAGATTACGCAGCAGGTTTAACTTCTACCGAGATATCTAAGGATTGCTAAACAAATGTCAAATATCATAACCGTCCTTGTCACGCTGAGATAATTTGTCGTATGGAAATCATGAAGTGCACCGTACGTGGGGGTTTTGAAGCAATTTTAGTCTTGCAGATGTTGGTACATAGCCAAGAGTAATAAAGAACTAATAAACTTTCAATTTTTAGAAAGAAAAAAATTATCTTCGAATAAGATCAGTCTTTTCCCTTTTATATACGCTTAGAGTTCTTGTTATTCTTGAATTTGAATTAGAAATATATATATCAGAAGATAAGGCAGTATCTCAGGTGTTAAGTAAACATTTTATACTTCTTTTTTTATTTTAAATGACCCTCGAGACTGACCGTGCAATAAAAAAAAAACTAACTGTCAAATACAAACACTTAAAGAAAAATCCCTCAGGAGCTTGGTTGGTTGACCAACGAAATTCATAGTGATCAAAATACTGTAACTGCGGAGCAGATATACGATATATGTTTGTTAACAAGGTCTATCTCGTTTTTTTTCATAAAACAGATGGATTTCAGTAGCAACGAGAAAATTCGTCGATGTTGCCACTGTTCAACGAAAAGTTACAAAAGAGTTTGCTCAGCCAATAACGATGTCACTTGACAAACTTTCCCATGACAGAACTCCGATATAGATGTAACGAGAAATCTTGTCTTACATGTCATTAGTAAGAACACATCTCACTTTACCAAAAACCGTCACAAAGAGCCACCCGCGAAAAACTGATATTTTCATCGTTTTGACTTTATTAACTTCACAGTAACTTGTAGGACTTGCGTGCAATGCTTTGGTAAGATATCAATGATTAGAGTTTGCCAACTCACCGATAATGAACCGGCCTAGCCAGTATTTTCTTCGGTCGGTTGCTAGTATATTTTACTGGTCCTAGTCCATAAAATGATGATAAATTAAATTTGTTTTATGAAAAAGATTTGTTATAACAAAAATTTAGTTTTAAGTTCCATATATACATTTTTCTCGCGTGGGTAAAAAATTGTTTTTATGTACGCTAATAGCTCTGATAGCGCTGCAGTATTAAAGTTCTAGATATTCTAAAGTTGCGTAATCCTTTTGTCTAAGCCGAAATGCCAACAACTTTTCTATTGGCTTTCGATAGTATCCACTGTCCAATAAGCGTCTAGTATATAATACAGTTATTATCAAAAATAGAGGACCTTTGTGTTGCTTTGGTATATCTAGAGTTTTATGTGATAAACTCTCTCGTAATTGAACATTGAAATGTAGAATGTGTTACACATTTATTTATGTTTATTTTACTCTATAGTCATTTTTAGTCGATAACCGAAATTCCGGATTTTAGTATCTGATTTGCTATTAATATTCAATTTAAATGCTGATAAAAACTAAAAATATTATTTTATTACATCAAGTATAATACCATAGAAAGAGAATACAAATGTAATCATTATATATCCGTAGCTTTAACAATATAAGTGCTATCTGGACGTTTTATATAATTCTCGTGCTTGAGCTTAGAAAGGTCGCATATATAATAATGAGACTCCTTTGTGATATTAATGGTATAATCCTTATGTCATAGTCTCTTGTCCGGTATATTCCAGGTTGATGACGTCGATAATTGTGTAATATGTCGGAAGATAGTGGTGACTAAGAACAATTATAAAGGAAGTTACCGCGATATAATGCTTCTTCGACCCATTAAGACGATAATAATTTTGCTATGTGATATAACACAAGACCTATAATGTTTTACGCACATATAGCTATCAAGTATAGATATCTCTTGTATCTAATAAGAATACATACTAATGATAACAATATAAACAAGATATAATGGATCTACAAAGATAACCTGCCAAAGCGTACACACTTGTCAAATAAATATAGCGGCATATACTAAACTATCGACATTTATTGGAAAAATATCCGTGAAATTGGAAAGCATTGAGGCGATAATCGCATTCGTTTGCTGTCAAAATGGTAAGAGCAATCTGTGAAATTACAACTACAGTCGAGAGTTTTCAATTATATGACATACCAAACGGCGCTTAATTAAATTGTGACCTTGCTTTTCTATCACTTGCGTTTGCGTCCCCAATATATTCTTAGAGAGAAAATTAATCTTAAAATATAAAATTCACTTTTCGTTTTCTGCACTTTTTCCTGCAACTTTATATTAAGTTACTATATTATAAATGTTGTATGTCAGATATAATGAAAAGTTTGTACTTATTATATTATTTAAAAAATACTATTTAAATAAAAATAGCACTAAATGCATTTTTCAAGAAAAATTTGATTCTTAAAAAATTATTTATAATATCTTGTGATATTCAATCATATTAGATAATTAGATAATTAAAATTATATTTGTCGCAATT